CCCCCCCCCCCCCCCCCCCCCCCCCCCCTTTCAATTAATCCTGGATCCGCCCCTGAACCTAGTCCAATTATCTCACCACTACCTAATTAGGCAATAAATTGATGAATGATAATTGAGCGTAATGGAAAGAAGGTTAATAATAGATATTACATGTATGCAAGAACGCAAAACATCACGCCACCACTAAATAAGGAAATGTGAACAGATTGACGAATTACTTAGAATGGAAAGTTGTGGAAAAACAGGCGAATCTGTGTGATATATCGTGCTATTGGAATGTGACATGAGAAGATTAAATGTAGAGTTTAATGTTTGTGAGATAAAGAATAAAGAACCAGTTTTTTTTCGCGCCAAAACAGTGTATGTTCTTCCTGCCTTTTGCTACGTGGTACATGTAAATATAGGCCTACTTTACCATACGACATTTAATATTTCGGTTCAGGGGCAAATGAAATACAACAATCTCGTACATCTCTCATAAAATTTTGTTGAGCGTTTTATTTCTTTTTTTCACATTACCAAAATTAAAATGAAATAACAACCCGCAAGAAAAGTCTACACATATTAGAAGAAAAACGTAGTCGTACCACAAGCCATTGTGCGTATGAAGAAGGCGCGCACCTGTCACAATCTAAAGATTACGGAAATTGCCGAACAACTTTTCCGGAAGTGAAAACGGAGAAAACGCGTTTTTTATTTATCGAAGTTGTAGTTTTATGACTGAATTTGTTCAACGTTCAAAGTAATAATATTCAAATGTTGTATAGGGAATAGTATCATCCCTATTTAAACAGTAAAACACGTACTGAGCTTCGGAACGGAAATTGCCGAAGTTAATCCAACATGGCCGGGGCGAGTTTGACGCCATGATGCCAAAGAAACTGTGAAGAATTTGTAAATATTTCCCCATGTTGGAGCCTATCCTATCGGTAGTTGGATTCCGAGGAGAGAAAAATAACTCAAGAAACGCGTGGATCGGGGAGAGAGAGCTTCAAAGAAATTTGAGGCTTTCGTGACAGTATTATGACAGAATTATGAATCTAGATTCGTTATCTTTTGCCTTGTCTCAAATCAGCTATTCGGTGGCCAATCTAACAAAGAAAAATTTCAAATCCAGTGTATCAGAAATATCGCATGTAAGTATTGCATTTTCTTGAAGGGGACAATGTCGCACCTTTAAAGTAAGAAGTTACGTCATGACTTGATAAGTTTGAACTATGACCGGCCAATCTGAGCAAATCACTGCATTTTGTGAAATAACACACTTCACTTTCACTTTGAAGTTGAGTTTGAAACAGAATAAACGTATGAAATAAAGTTAATATCAAAATTGATAGTGGTTCAAATAGGTTGCTTAATTTAACGCTAGGAGAATAATGACCTCTTGGTTATGACTAATGTAGTTGTTGAGATCAGCAGCCTCTGCAATCATTTCACCATCAGAAAAAATTTACCCACTAGTACATCACCTCCTTTCAATCTCAAAGGGAATTTCCATTGTATGGTATGGTGGAGCTATCTTTGTGTCAAGAATGGTCGGTCTTTGAATAGAATTCATTAATGTAGGCTCCTTTTCCCAAAACTGTACTAGAATGAAAGGTCATTTCTCCAATCTGAAGGTAAACTTGTATTTTGTAGCTGGTCTCTCAGCACGGAGCTGAGGCAGAAAGGCATCTTTACAGGTGCCTTTTTTCACACGTTGACTTCAGTGGGGATGGTAAAAGTACTGTTAAAGACAAAGATTTTCACCAGGTAGGTACACTGTCTACTGCTGTCTCTCCAGTGTGAATTTTGTTAGAGTTAAATTGTAGATAAAATACTTAAGTCTTCGGATAATACTGTTTCTTTGACATTTTCACTTACTAGTACATTTTTTCTATGTCCCATGCATTTTCTCTACCTTATGTACATTATGTTCAGCATTTGGCTAAAGTGAGTGAACTTGCTTGAGCTTGGGTGTACTTCATGGTTATTGTCCTTCAAAATTTATAAATTGTTTTAGAAGAGTTTTTATATATTAAAGATGCAGAGCTTTAAGTTAAAAATATGTTGTTTGAGTTAGCAGCATCTGTACTTAAATAATAGAAAATTCATTATCTGACTTTCCACTTGAACCATAACTTATTTTATGTTATTTCTGTATTTTGTTTTTCTATGAATATGAAATGCACATTTTAGTTCCACTTTTTGTCAGTTTTTAGACCTCTTTCTCTGTCTATTTCAGACCCAGTATTTGATACAGGAAAGCAGTGCTCTGATTTCCAAGCCTAACTTTGTGTCCATACTTTGCTTTGCTATAGACAATCCATTGCACCAGCAAAAAGTAAGTCAATTTGTCTTTAATGCTGAACTCAGTGGCGGATTTAAGCCATTGTGAAATTGCGGTCAGTACTACAAAAAGTCTTCTGGTTCAGCAAACTTTGCATAACTTCTAGATTTAATGTCTGGCTGTTAAATTAAGTTTACTGCATGTTACCTTGCCAACAAACACTGCTTCAGTTTTGCTGAGATGAGAGGCTAAACTGGCCCGATTATTAAGGGGAGTGAGTAGGCCCATGCTTTGACATTTCTGCTTTAATAAGTGCTATTTAATATGTATAATACATTGTGGAACACCTGTCTCACTATATCATGATATATGTTGTGGGCTTCATGTCCCATTTAGGGTTATTTGCTTTATAAATCATATGCTGTGCACAGAATGCCAGACAATTAAGCTGATTACAATGGCTGGGCCTTGTCAAGAATGCCTGCTGAGATGGATCAATCATAATTTTGATAAAATTTTCAAAATTGGAAAGACAGGTAGAAATACATTGGCAGCGCTTTATCAGGAATCCCTGCTGAGAAAGATCTATCTAAATTTTGATAAACTTTTTAAAATCGGATCTTGCTAGTACGTCAACTTCTATTCTGAACATGGCCATATTGTAATAACATGTAACCTTTAATCTCCACTAACGTTCCAGACCTTACGTGCGTCCCCTCATCTCTTGCCTCAACTGAGTAAGTTCCTGAAGCTGACCAAGGTCCAGGAGGTGGTCTTCGGCTTAGCTCTGCTCAGCTCCTCCGTCGCGGATACCCGAACGTTTGCAGCGCAGTTTGTGAAACAGAAATTCCCTGACTTGCTCAGGTGTCACTTGGACTCTGGTAAGTAAATCTTCTAGTTGATTGTTATTGTTGTTGTTTTTGTTCTCAGTCATTGAGTTGTCGTAAATAACAAAAATAATTGAATCAATTACTGGAACTTACTTTGTTAGCACCAGTTTTCTGTATTCTAATCAATGCCGAGAGGAGGCGTGCTAGTCTGATTACATTCAGCAAAAGTCCCCCCAGAGTTGGATTGATCTACATAGAACGATAGTTTTATTTGAAACGAGCCCTTAGTTATTTCTTTACTCAAAATCTTGTCTTGCTGTGTCCAGATCCCAGTGTTAGCCAAGAGAGTGGTCTACAGGAGGTGGCAGTAGAAGTTGTCCACTTTTTGCTGACTCATCTCGCCAAGGACAGAGAGAGCTTTGACATATCCTCAGATCAGAAAGAGGCCTTTATAAAAAGTTTACAAAGAGGTACTTGCCGTTTTCATTAATTGTACTAATTTATTCATGTTAAAAACATACGTGGTTTTTCCTCAGATTCAATTCTTAAGCATGTTAACATTATTGAACTTACTAGATAAGTGTTCTTTTGACATTTTCTGCATCATAACAACATTGTTAATAGTACACACAATAAGCAGAGTGTACAATATTTGCCCTATTTCGGAATCTAATACATTAATTGATTTATTTATAATTTTTCTTGAAATTTAATTTTTCTCCAGATTTTCCCAAGGACCGAGTACCAGTTGTGCTCTCTCCTCTGCTGTACCCAGAATTACAGGACTTACCTCTGGAGAAACTGAACCCAGACTCCATCACCATGCCCAAGTCAATGGTATGGATTACCAGTGGTCTGAGAAATATATTTGACGATAATTTCTAAAAAGAATAACATAAATTCTTAGTGTTAGAATTGTGTTTCACTTAACAAGTCATTGTGTAGGGGAATGTATACTTTTACAGTTAAGCATATGAACCACTGGCAGTTATATTATTTTTCACTCTTTCTCAATTTATTTGATTGTTTTTAAACTTAATTTGGACTGCAGTGCGTAATCTGTTAATTTGGTATTTAATTGTGGATAATATTTGTTATGTGCTCTTTGTTATGCGAACACTGTAATATGACTACTGTCTGTTATCTGAATACTGTCTATCATGTGATTACTTTGTTATGTGAACTCTGTTATGTGAATACTGCCTGTTATGTGAATATTGTCCAATATCCTGTTATGTGAATACTGTATAGTGTATTCTTATGTTTCAGATGGAGGGCTCCCTAGCTGACATTTTACTGGAAGCTGGATATGGGTGTACTGCTAGGTAAGGACGGCCGTTTTGCCTCCTTTAAATCTAAGTTGACGAATTCCTGTGCTTGGTTAAAATGTTCTGAAACTAGAATGAAAATTAGATTATCTTGAATCTTATAGTTTTAAGTATTAAAATGAAGTCACTTCATTACATTAATGGATATTTCCAGCGAAATGTAAGTTGAAAAAGAATGGGAATAAAACCTAGCCCTCCGAGTTTGCATGCTGAGAATTATTTATTCAGTATTCTACTCCTTAATACTGAAATAAGGAAAACGAACATTTATCATTTGTTAGTATTAGTTTTTGTTTTCTGGCACATGAAATGTGATGCGTTTTATTTTGTGTGTTTCAGCGTTGAAGAATGCCGCACCACGTTGCTCCAAGTGGGAGCTCGCGAGCTGACAGCAGGCGCTATTGCTCGTGTTCTTGGAATGATGGCGAGAACACCTACAGGTCTAGGTGATCAGGTAAACATACAGGTAAGTCATAGTAAATATACAGGTAAAAAGATGATACAGGTAAATCTAGGCAAGCATACAGGTAAGTTATATATTTACATACTGTAAGGTGCATTTCTTAGTACATAACATTTGAAAGGAGTTGGGTTGATAGAAAGTGTATCATTTAAGCACCCTGATTTAGTTAAACCAATATATGTTGATAAAGAAATAAAACATGATGAAACTGTTGTGTGTATATATATATATATATATATATATATATATATATGTATGTATAGAGAGAGAAACTCAAAAACTGATGTGGTTTTTGAAGCAGGTGTGCTGAAGAAATATTTCTTTCATCTTGTCTACTTACGTATAGAGACCTATGTAAGGTTCAGGTCACAATCAAGTTGAATCTGGTGCCTAACTAAGCCAGGGCTCAAATTTGGTGCGCACTTGAAAGCATGTTGTGTAATCCCCCAATGGATTCCCTGCCTCCTATGAACGCCGTCTCTGCAGGGTTACGCAGCCTGCTTTCATGTGGGATCCTCCATATTTGAGCTGCAGCTCAGTTAATCCTGGCTCAACTTGGTTGTGAACAAAGCAAACAAAGGAACGAAGCAATAGATGACCTGTAGTAATTAGCCATGGTTTTTTCTCGTCTCTGCAGTCCCTGAGTGGCCCAGGTGGCAGCACTATATGGAGTGATGGCAAAGACAAGCCCGATTCTGCCGGGATTAGTACCTGGAATGTTGATGTCTTCGTACAAGTTGTTCATGACATGGTGAGTGCCGAGTTACAATGATTTAAATTGTTGCCTTCTAGTGGTCAGAAATGAGATTTTTCTGACTATCAGTACATTTCCGACTTTTGGGGAGCCCAAAAAAATATCATTGGCTTAGGAAGCCCCCAGACCCCATGCCATATTTTCTGACTTTTTCACTAAGTGGCGGTCTCATCCCTCAGTGGGTTACTCTTCTTTATGGGTAAAAGAGCAGAAAAGTGTGTATTTCAGTGAAATGTTCAGGAAATGTTCAGGTTCAGCAACAACATAAACTATAAAATATGCACACACCAAAAAATGGGTGATGTTCATTAGTGTAAAAAAAAAATATATATATATATCTACAAAAATTGAGAGAAATAATGAATGTAGCTTTATTTAAAAGTGATGAACACTCGATTTTTACATTTTATTTTTTGAAATCCCTTAAAAACGCAGGTTCTTTAGAAAATTTTATAGAAACAACATATTTATACCACTTCCAGGGTCCTCATATTAACTGGAGAGAAGTGGTCAGTGAGCTGGACCATGAGGGGTTCTTGGTGCTGGGGAAACCAGGGTTACGCCTGCTGGTCCAGGCTCTCTTCCGTGGACTGAGGGGGGACGTGTTCCCAGTGGAATATATCTACAGGACATGGAAGAACACAGAGGGACAGGTAGGTTCACATCAGGTGTAGATTAAACCATTAATTCAGTGCCATTTAGAAGCCAGGTAGATATACAACAAGTTATTTTTATCCAGTGGATAATTTTCACTTACGAGTTATAGGGACCTTTCCTAGTAAAAATACCATTTTACGTAGATTGATACTTCTCCGTTAGACTTCTCGCTGATAGTAATGAAATTAACATACCTCTTCTTATATCCAAGGTGCTTGAGTAATCATGAGCTTTCTACATTCTTCTCAACACCAGGAGGCATGTTATCCTGATTGCAGTCAGTGAGAGTCTGTGCGGAGTTGGGTCGATCTATAGAGAGCGATAGTAACATTGGGAATGGGCCCTTAGATTATCAAAGTCTATTTGAATATTTTCATTTTCTCCAGCTAAGTTGACCTGTTTTTAGCACCATGTTGATATTTTACAGGTATTAGAATTTTAAAGTCAGACACTGTCTATTCCAACATGTCCACAGAAATTAGATTCCAACAGATAACATGCACTGGTGTGCTGTATGTCAAATGTCTAAAACTGTCTCTTCCAGCTCTCCTGGCTGTCCCAGTCACTGAAGAACCCAGACGTGTTTTGTTTCGCCGACTATCCCTGTCATCCCGTGGTGATTGACATCCTTAAGACTCCGCCCGATGACGAGAACAGGGAGATTGCTACTTGGTACGCAGCTGATGAAACCATTGTGAAGTTCTAAGTTTTTGTAGTGAATTCTGGGATAGGAAATAAAGGATAAAATTTGAGGAAAAACTTTTCTTATTACTTATTACTTAAAAGTGATATGAATACTTGGGATTTGTTAAGTTCTACACTTGACTTGCTCTTTCGTGTTGTGCTTTGATAATATAAAAGAGAAGCTTCTTTGGACAAGTACAACATCACAACTATGTCTGTAAAAGATGATTACCTTGGCTATGTTTCCCATTGAAGTGAAATTATGATTAAAACCTGTGCAAGGTGTAGGTTTTATGTGTTCTATTTTCTCCTCTAGGAAATCCCTGGATTTGGTGGAAGTGTTGCTGAAGCTGTCAGACGCTGGGTTGTATCAACAGATCACAGAACTGTTCAAGTTCCCCATACAACACTGTCCAGACATGCTGGTGCTGGCACTACTCCAGATCTCTGTGAGTTCACACAAATGAGTTCTTTGAAATATTTTAAATCAGAAGTCCCAGTTTTAGCTGAGCTATTTAAGGCCCCCAGTAAAAAAGGCACAGTGGTTTTCTTGCTACATTTTCTTTCAATTAGGAATCATGGCAGTGAGTGATAGGGATAGAGACTTTGTAATTACTGTTGGCTTTCACCCAAATAGTAAAGTTTACAGCTGTGAACAGACAACATGACCTTGAAGTTGGACTTTTGCCTGTTAATAATTAGAAATGAAAGTTGGGAACTTTTTACAAGTTGCATTTGTGGAGGATACATATGTATTCAACATGCTCAATTAAAGTGACATCATTTTAAATCACTGGTTTTATTGTTAAATCGGTACATGAAGCATTTCTCTTGTTTTGGTCACATTGAGAAGTACCCTAATTCAGTTCTCTTTTATCATTTTAAATCACTGAAGTTTTATAACTACAACCCATCGTTAAATGGTATATGGGAGTATTTCTTTTGTTCAGATCACCAGAATGAGTAGCCTAATTCATTTCTCTTTCATCATTTTGAATCAGTGAAGTTTTACTACTGAAACTCATTGTAAAATAGTATTACTTTTGCGTTCAAGTTGCCTAATTCAATTCTTTTTCAGCCCAACTGGAACACCTTAAAACATGAGCTCATCTCCACACTGATGCCCATCTTCCTCGGCAACCACCCCAACTCTGGCGTGGTTCTCCACTACGCGTGGCACTGCCAGAGCCAGTCTACCACCATACGCACACTCATCATGCATTCCATGGCCGAGTGGTACATGCGCGGGGAGCATCACGACCAAAGTCGGCTGTCCAGGATTCTTGATGTGGCTCAGGATCTTAAGGTGGAGTGGTCACTGAAGTTAAATAAATATAAATTTTTTTTCATTTGTTCTAAATTTTAGTGGAGGAGAAATCTTACACAATTTATGTTGAACTTTGTCATTCACCTTCTCCTTGTGAGAAAATATAACATGCACATTCATCAAATATGTGACAAGTGAAATTCCTTTCATCCAGGCCCTGTCCATGTTGCTAAATGCGACACCGTTCGCCTTCGTGATCGACCTTGCGTGTCTGGCCAGCCGGAGAGAGTATCTGAAGCTGGACAAGTGGCTCTCAGATAAGATGAGAGAACATGGGGTAAGTGAGGGCTATATGAGGGTGGTGGGTGGGGGTGTTTCTGATAAGATGAGAGAACATGGGGTAAGTGCTATATGTTATTTGCTGTAAGTTATCTCTATCAGTAAAGGAAGGGGGCGCTCTAATAAGTTAAGAGAACATAGGGTGCGGGAGTTGATCATCTGGATTTTTTTAGTCACCTTCATCAGTAGACAAGGGATGCAACATGGATATTTGACAAGAATACTTATCACATTTTACAAGATGCAAGTTAAGAGTTGGGCATTATGCACTGTGTATATGTAGATAATGTAAGTTGACATTGGCGGTAATTGATTTGAAGATTGAAAAGAACAGGAGAAACTAACCCCACATTTCATCACTCCAGGAGCCGTTCATTCAGGCGTGTGTGAACTTCCTGAAGAGGCGCTGTCCACAGCTGACTGGTCCAGGGATGAAGGATGACCAGCCACAGTCCAAGAGTCAACAACTGCCACCTGAGACACTGACCACCATGTTGGCCTGTCTGCACGCGTGTGCTGGGTAAGAATATGGGTCGTGTGTGTGCGCGTGTGTGCATGTTTATGTGTGTGTGACAAGAGTTTGTGTGTGTGGATACAAAGAAATTTACTGTTTGTTACCAGGGTTCTATCAGCAGTGTTTAAAAAGCTCTTCACGTCACTCTTTACAATTAAAACCTAGACAAGCAATTTCATTTGGGTATCGTCTTTTTGTGTATTGCTGACTTGTGAAAGTAATGATCTTTGCCAAAATGAAGTAAGGGTCTCTGCAAGAAATTTTTGGGACATCCAGGGTTATTAAGATTAAAAATATTCAATATTGAGCGACCATTTTACCAAATAAAGTCTTATTAAAATGTGCCCAATTAGATTGCCTATATATTTTGTTCATGCGTTAATTTCATGACAGACCTTGTCACATTTCACGTTTCACCAGATTACACATTTATCTTATACGTCTTCTTTTGTAGCAATGTGAGCCCGGAGCTGTCAGAGAACATCCTCACCATGTTTGGAAATGCCTCCCACATCCTCCAGAAGGCCAGACAGACGGCCCCGGGGGTGGTAGGAGGGAAGGGGGTCACACCCCCCATAGGTCCCCCACCCACAGGACTGAACCAGGTAGGGGGAGGGGAAAGAGATTTTTGGAAATGGAACAGTTTTTGAAGGGTCTTGTGACATTTTTATGATTTTGGAAAGTCATTGAGTCCACAATTTGATTTTCTATTGATAAGATATTTATGGTTGATAGCTTTTCCAATATTTTAGAATTTATTTATTTATTTATTTATTTATTTAATTTAATGTTATTTTTATTTACTTATTTTGGAAAACGTGTGATTTGTCCAACCTTAGGTAAATGAATATCTTCATATTTCAGATGGACCCCATGACCAGCTTGGGTCCTCTGTCAGGATTAGGGGTACCACCCCCAGGGGGATTCCCCAGTGGACCAGGCTTCCCCCAGGGGCTAGCGGCCTCCCTGAGTGGCACCCCGGCCTCACCAGCCAAGAATTTCCCCAACGTCTCTCAGTCCACGCCCCCTGCACAGCCAGGGTTCAACCCTATGCAGACCAACCCCATGCAGAACTTGACTTCACAGTTACAAAGTAAGTGGTCTGGCACTGTCAGTAGCAGGGGTGAGATTTTTCTGACTTTAGGAAGATTTCCGACTTTTTGGGAGCCAAAAATATAATCTTATTGCTTGTATAAGGCAAAAAATATTAAATCTCATATTGGACACTTTGATAAATCTGCTAGATGTTATGCAGAGGCTCCAACATTTCCTCCTTATCACATGGAAGTAATTTTTCTTCATTCATCAGCTTAATATTGAAATAGTTTTACTTCTGTTAGACGTCAAAATATGCATCCTTAGAACATAACACAGCTGATTAAATTCTCTGACTGGTGTTGCAGTTCTCACATGACAAAGATCTAGCAGTTCTACATATTATAGATTATTATCATAAGAAAAGTAGCATGTTTCTGTCATGTAATTTAATTGCAATACTGATATATATATATCCGTTACTGTTCCAGACCTTGGTATCCAGACCAGCATGCCCTCTGGTGGCCTGGGGATACAGACCAGCATGGCGTCTGGAGCACGCTCACTCAGCGCCCTCAGTATGAATGCCACGCTAAAACAACAGCAGCAGCAGCCTCCAAATGTGGAGAGACTGCGCCAAGGTAGGGGGAGCATACTTAGTATCCCTGGGGGGGGGGGGGGGGGTTGTTAGTTTTCAAAGTCTGTCAAATTTGTTATTCTTATTTTAAGAATATGATTTGGCACACTTAGTAATCCTGGGGCTTTGTTAGTTTTCAAAGTCTGTCATATTTGTGATTCTTTTAAATCTGATTTGGCATATTCCTCACTTTAGTCTACGTGCCCATGTGGCAGTGGCCCAAAGTCATGTTGTCAAGGTCACTCTCAAGGGGTACAAGAAGACTCTATCCACCCCCCTGTGATTTAAGAGATCTCCTATGATGAAAAGCTAATCTGATTTTTTTCTGTGAAGAACCATCTTAGCTTCATTCATTACTCATTAGTTTAAGTCTGAGGAGACCACAAAAAAAAAAAAAAGAGAGAGAGAGAGAGAGAGAGAGAAAATGCATAAAATACTCTGTGAGATGCCACAAATAAAAAGAAAAGAAAGGAAAAAAAGTGTAAATTACTCCATAAGGAAAAAAGGAGAACCTTTAGTTTCGTTTGCATTTTTGCACCATATACTTCCTGTGTGTAACGTACACCTGTCCCGTGTTTTCCGCAGCCTCCCAGCAGGACGAGGTGGCCAGTCTGTTCCAGGAACCCACTCAGCAGTTCTCCAAGGAGGTGGAAGACGAGGCCAACTCGTACTTTCAGAGGATCTACAACCACCCGCCTCACCCAACCATCACTATTGACGAGGTCCTCGAGATGCTGAAGAGGTTCAAGGACTCCCCTGTGAAGAAAGAACGGGTGGGTTATTAATTATTAACTTTTAGTTGTATAAATCTATTGATTAATTAATTTTTTTTATTTTATTTAATTTTTATTTATAATATTTTGTTCTGAATCTAACGGAGAGCAGGTGGCAGACAGATTGGTGTTGGAAAAGGTTCTCTGCTACTATTTCTCCATATCTCCGTATCCATTTGGCCTATTTGCTCCATTTTCAATTATCTCTTTTTACCTGTAGAGAAAAACAGTCATTAAATTTTTTCCGCAAATCTGTTATCACTTCTGCTTGGTGCGTTTCTTAAAGTATTCACATTTATGTTATCCAGGATGTTTTTGCGTGCATGCTGCGCAACTTATTTGAGGAGTATCGATTTTTCCCACAATACCCTGAGAAAGAGTTGCAGACCACCGCCATCTTGTTTGGTGGAATTATCGAGCAAGGACTTGTCACGTAAGTTATTTGATAATGAAATGTAAATCTTTACTATTGAGAGAGCAAGAATTTTAATCAACAGTTGGTCTTTGTTTCAGACTGAGTATTATTGTATTAACAAATAAAGGAAGTAATATTTTAAGATTTTATTGTATTCTTTTATTCTGGGTTGTATTGTCCATAAGCAATGCTTATTTTCAATCCAAGACTTGTGATGTCTTACAGGGGCAGATCCAGAGATATTTTCCGATAGTCTTCCAAATGACTTCTGTTGATTCATCCTTCAATTTTGACTGTGTTCCAACAGAAAAAAAATTAGATAGCTGGAAACTTGAAAAATTCGGACTGTTTGCTGAAAGGCCCAGAAGATGGCTTCTGTCCACCCCTGTCCTACATGGGCTTGCTACAGCCCTGTCACTTATAAGACATAATATTTTAAGATTTTATTATATTTTTTTTACCTTGTTTGTATTGTTCATTAACAATCCAAGCCTTGTGATGTCCTGTGTGGGCGTGCTGACTTATGGAATTGTGTTGATATTTTTAGTTACATGGCGCTAGGCGTGGCATTGAGATACGTGCTGGATGCTCTCAGAAAGCCGAGTGGGAGCAAGATGTACCTGTTTGGAATAGCGGCACTGGACAGGTTCAAAACCAGGTAAAGAGGGGGGTATGCATGGAGATTTGGGAAGGGGTACAGGGGGAGATTGGGGGGATATCATCTGTTATAATTGGACAAATTTGGAAGACTTTAACAAATGTTTATAAAACCTGTATTAGTGGGAAGAAAAAATTAACTTAGGAAGATATTGACTAAGCTGCACAAATTCTTCATGAGGATGTAGAGAAATCATTCATGTTTCTGCCGTTTGATCTTTTTTCCTTTCTGTATCTGTCCATATACGTCTAAAAAGACCACTACTGGTATGAGATAGACAGATGATTCCTTTACTTGATTGCTTGCTGTACTGTCAACTGTAGTATGTGGAAACTGTTTGCCCTTGTTGATTTTATTTTAACCATTCAGAATAGTCAAGTATGAATGTGATGTATTTGACTTTAATGAATGGATAAATTCAGCATGTTTAACATATCATTATGAATTCTGATACCTTGTGACCTTTAGCCTAGTTACTCACAAACTTTGACCTAGTTTTCCATGACCTTTGACCTAGTTTTTCATAACCTTTGACCTATATTGTTCCAGGCTGAAAGACTACCCAGTGTATTGCCAACACTTGGCTAGAATCCCTCACTTCAGCCAGTTCCCCCAGCACATGATAGAGTATGTGGACTTCGGGTCCCGCTCCCAGGAACCCCCCAACCGCCCCCAGGGTCCTGTGGTGTCCACCAGCTCCACTCGGAGCCTGACACCCAGTGGACCCCCTGTGGTCAGTACTGTCACCGTGACAACCACCACTACCACGGCTGCTGCGACCGCTGCTGTCACCAAACCTACGAGTGTTAGTTTTCAGACCAAGGTAGGGTGTTTATGATCTTCATACTGGAAAATACATTTAGTTACTTAATATATGACTGTATTTTTCATTTAATTACTTGCCATTGTAAGCTTAGACTCGTGAAATAATTGTATTCTTGCTATAACTTCTTAAAATTTTCAGTGTGTTGTCCGATTCAGATTTATGGTGTGTGTGTTGTTGTTTCAGCTGATATTAATTCTAAAATGAAATTTATTCACATTCTTTTCAACAGTCTGCAGTCACAGACATGAATTTTATATTAAATATTTAGCCAGGGTTATTTTCTTTTATTTCACCTTTTGTTTTCCCTGTGTTGTTCCAGCCGTCTATAGCTAATGCTACCAACATTGACACCCTCCTGGCAGGGACAGAGGGGAAAGAGGAGACCAGCGTCCCCCCTGAGGCTCTTCAAGACAAAGTGTTCTTCATCTTCAACAATTTGTCTCTGGCTAACATGGCCCAGAAGGTAAGAGGGGTGGATGGGTGCTGTACCAGCAGGGAAAGGGGGATTTTCACCTTTGGAAAGATTTCATTCAGTCTTGTAGACTCGAGTCCCCTTTGAGTGTAAAAGAGAGTCACTGGAATTAATGTGATATGTTTGTGGACATAAATGTGTTTAGAGTCGAACGTTTTCTCATGAAATTTTGAGCTAAGTATAGGCTAATTTACCAAATTGCCTGTCCTGTTGAAGCCACAACTGTATATTTATGTATATATTTTGATCCTGGCACGCAGGCAGAAAAGCTGCCAAAACTGTGTATTTATGTATATATTCTGCTTCCTTCCATGCAGGCAGAGGAGCTGCCATAATTGCTTATTTACGTATATATTTTGTTTCCCCCCCACGCAGGCAGAGGAGCTGCGAGAACATGTTAGTTTGGACTACATCCCCTGGGTGTCCCAGTACATGGTGATGAAGAGGGCCAGCATCGAACCCAACTTCCACACGCTCTACGCAAACTTTGCCGAGGTCTTGAAGATCCAGCCTCTGTCGGACATGATTATCTCAGAGACGTACAGGAACATTAAGGTGGGTGGACTGGGACACTGATAAAACGGTTCAACTTTTGGCTGGACAGATGATTTACAAGGAAAAATTAGCCAGTCTTCTTCACAATAGGATCAGTATAAAATTTTTCGGGTTTCTTTTAAATAAATTTTTGTGTAATATGTGTAGTCAAGAATAATTGGATTTTATATCATATCTGTCTTTCTATTAAATTTTGTTCAGTTTATTCAATTAAGTCAAATATTAGAATATTCATTTATGGAAAGAAAAGGTCAAAGGTCATAAAAGATTAAGTAAACGGTCTTATGATTTCAGATTCTGTTGCGAAGTGACAAGGCGGTAGCAAACTTTTCAGACAGGACACTGTTGAAGAATCTAGGCCACTGGCTGGGCATGCTGACCCTGGCCAAGAACAAACCCATCCTCCATGTGGTAAGTAGAACAAACTGGCGGGACTTGTGTTAAACATGGGTAATTTTGGTGGTCAGGTTTGGAAAAGTTTTCATTTTAGGTGATTGCGGTAAAAATGTACTTCTTTGTCATGATATTATACCAGCGGGAGATGCATTGGGTTTGAAAACTGTTTCTTCATACTGAAAATAACGTAAGAGGGAGAAGAAATATTAGTTGATATAAATGCCGCTGTCTACCACCCCTTTGGAGTTTTTCCATTGTTGACAGAAGACTTGGAAGACCAAAGCTTATTTGATGGCATCAGGGTTCAGAAAAATGAACAAAGTTTTGTGATAGTCATACGTCCTAGTAACAACGTATAGCCAGACTAAGGGCGCATTCCCATAGATTTTAGATTGATCTATCCCCCCGGGGAGTCTCACTAGATTACTGTCAGATAATCCGGCTTAAATGTCCGTCCCGCCTACTACAAGCTGTAAGGGGTAATTAACTTTTGTGCCCGCTCGGCTGACAGCTATTTAGCGTGATCCCCCAGGGAGTTAGGTCGATCTAGTTGGATCGATCTCATCTCTGGGAATGGGGTCTTAGTATGATAGGTCCGGAAATGGATATGAAAATAATATGTATGCACATAATAGCCAACAAGTTCACATGTTGTTACTGGACAGATTTATGTGGCGTGATGTATGTCTGTATTTCAGGACATTGACCTGAAGTCTCTTCTATATGAGGCCTACAGCAAGGGGGAGCGCGAGCTGCTCTACGTCGTCCCTTTTGTGGCCAAAGTGATCGAGTCCTCCTCCAAAAGCAGGGTAAGTTGGGAAAACTGCAGGTTTAAAAAGAAAATTCAAAAATAGCACCTGCTGTCTCTTACTTTATAACCCAGAAGCAGGGTGTAAAAACCTGGCCATGGTCATGAATTGTATATCTCATTTGCAGTTTTGTGTGAATTTCTGAATAATTACCACATTTGCAGAATTTGTTTACAAAAAGCAGTTATAGTAATAACAGCAGCTTTGTTTGAATTTTTAAATAATTACCACATTTGCAGAATTTGTTTTCATTTGACAAGTAACATCAGCATTATTCCTGCACTTTGTTCAAGTTCCATGAATAGATACTGAATTCCTTCACTGCATTTTGTTTAAGTTCTGTTGTTAACCCCCCTATTTGGTGTGTTCCAGGTATTCAAGCCTCCCAACCCATGGACCATGGGGATCATGAATGTCCTGGCAGAACTCCACCAGGAGCATGAACTGAAGCTGAACCTCAAGTTTGAGATTGAAGTCCTGTGTAAAACTCTCAATATTGACATCAACGTAAGTAGGACTCAACCTTTTTTTTTACGCATTCACTTACAGACATGCACACACGCATGAACAAAGTCACATAATTTAACTGTTTCACAAACGTTTTGCAGAAAGTTGGTCTAAGCTTTTAGGACAGTTTCAGTCTAATTTTACTTAAGTAAAATCAGTATCAGTTTAATAGAACTTCTGTGCCTGTTTTATAAAACACATGGTACTGAAATAAATGGGTACTGTGTAGGTTAATAAGTTTTTAAAAATATTAAAAATTTTTATGGGGGAGGGCACAGTTGTTAAGTTCATAGTTGCCTGGATTCTATCACTGAATGTTAGATAAAAGAATCCATATAATATGAAGCAAATTACAAAAGCAAACAAGTTGGAATGGCTGTAAATAATAAATAATGAGTCACTAGTCTAATTAACTGTTTTGATAAGTTAAATGATTATTTTTCATTCCAGTCTGACTTGACCGCGGGTCACTACTTAAAGGACCCATCCCGTATGGAGCGTCTGGTGCCCCAGCTCAGCCCTCCTAAACCCAAGGAACCTATGACCTCAGAGCAGCTGCAAGTGCCCCCTCCCTCCCTCTCCATGGGGATGGGGGGGATGGAAGAGGTGAGCAATGGGGCAGGGAGAGAGACTGCAGGGATCGTCACTCTCTGGGGTGTACCTAGCTTTAAATGAGCATCTCCAGGCATTTTATGCATATTTTGGCCATTTTAGGGCGTAATGAGAAAAAGCAATGTGTATCAGTGATAAATTTTTTTTCAAAGATTGATATTTTAATAAGGAAATTTTACATAGCCATAGAATATTTTGCTATAAAATTTTACCAACTTGTCGTGGCTTTACTGTAAATAAGAGTTATTTATCTGAAATTCTTTCTGGCATAATCAAGATATATGTCTTTCAATGAAAGAACACCCAAACTTTTGTCTTTAAAAACTGTATTTGATGACAAATTTTGTGCACCACTTTTGGTGAAATGTCAATATAAAGATAATTGCTTTTCCAGGCACCATCCTCCACGACATCCCTGACAACATTCAGCGTGAGTGCCACCACCACCGTGCCGACACCAGTGGTGACAAGCACACCGGCAGCCGCCATGATGACACCCCCTCAGCCACAGTTTGCATTTGGAGATGTGAACGTGTCCAGTTTGACGGGACTGGCCGCCCATGTCTCTATTAATGAACAGGTGAGAATAGTCTGAAGGTATTGGGAAGTTGATGAAAATTTTGTAGGAATGTTACTCATTATGGCGAAAATTTAAAGTTATCGCAGGTACGCTATTAGTTGTAGTATATGTGGTGAGATTAAGGTTGATTGTTATTCTAGCTCTGTTTGTGTACATTTGTGTGTATTTTGTGTGTGTGTGTGTGTGTGTGTGAGAGAGAGAGAGAGAGAGAGAGAGAGAGAGAGAGAGAGAGAGGTAGAAAGTGTAAGTTCAGGTTCCCAGTTTATTAAGCCAGCTACCCAGGATACTTGTGCCTGTTTAGTGGTAAATGCTGGGTAAATGAATGTCTTATTTCACAGTCATGTTTTATGATGGCTTCTACCATAAAACACTTGTGAAAGCTGCAACAATTCTGTTCAGTTTAATCTGACAGTTGCCAGATGCACTGATGTTTCAAAACAGAAATGGCTGCGTTGGGAACAAAGATGTTTTTATCATATGAAAGTTCACACATTTTAGTCAGATATTCTTTTGTTTAAATCTGTCTCTACAACTTGGATATATCCCAGATGATAAAATTGGAAATGATGTTAGAATGCACCAGTAAAGTATATATATTACCATATTCAGACCAGTAATAATGTCTAAGCTATTTCCCCCAGATGATCTCATGTCACACCTCCCTGTATCGTTCCAGCTTGCCCTGTTCCAAGCCCATCCCCAGTTGAAGCAGTACGTGAGACCCGCCCTGGAGAGGGCCGTGCAGGAGTTGCTGCCACCTGTTGTTGAACGCTCCATTAAGATTGCGCTCACCACCTGCGAGATGATTGTCAAAAAGGTAGGTAGATCGAAGTGCAGACAGATTAATCTTCCCAATGTGAATATCACAATCTTTTTTTTTTTTACTTGAAGAGATATTGTTTTCATATTTTGTATTCTGGTCATTTTGTAAAATGCAAAATTCTAAACTTAAAAATATAATAGGGTTTAAAAGTCAGTGGAAAACAATAATGTAACTGTATTTTAAAATTGTAGGCCCATTGCCTGGAATTGCGATCTTTATGGTCTTTAACTACAAATATTTTTTTATGACAGAAGCATTAAGTATTAAGATTATATTTAACCCCCTTTTTTCGGCAGGATTTTGCCTTAGACCCTGAGGAGGCACGTCTGCGCTCTGCAGCCCATCACATGGTGCGCAGCATGACGGCAGCCATGGCGCTGATCACCTGCCGTGAACCACTCCTCATCACCATAGGAACACAGATCAAGAACACCTTCCTCAGCATACTCAAGGTAAATATGTGCACCCTCTTTGAGTTGGGGAGATTTAAGTCTCGTTTGACTCACTGTTTATATTAAAAGCTGCATGTTTTTATGATAGGGATTTCTACCTTGTTTTTGTGTTTTCGTATTGTTGACATGGGAAAGTGTAGGGCATTCAATAGACCCTCCTTATTCATTTCTCGTTTTTCTCAGGGATGAGATTTTTGTGACTATAGGCAGATTTCCTACCTCTTGGGGAGCCAAAAAGTCTCTTTTCTCTCAAAAGATAAATTGCCCCAGCCACCTTTCTTATATATACTTTGTTGACTCATAAATTTCTGTAGCTTCATAAATTTCCATTGTAATCACACCCCAGGGTGCAACGCAGCCCCAGAAGGAGCTGATAGAGCAGGCCGCCCCCATCATCGCCCAGGATAACACTGAGCTCTCCTGCGCCTTTATACAGAAGACGGCCGTGGAGAAGGCGATAGCTGAGATTGACCGCCGCCTGGCCACAGAGTATGACCTCAGGAAACACGCCAGGAATGAGGGGCGCCGTTACTGCGACCCCGTGGTCCTCACGTACCAGGCAGAGAGAATGCCAGAGCAGATTAGACTGAAGGTGTGAGCTATTCGGGGACATTAATTCTTTTTGATTTGGCCTATGGATGTTGTTTGGGCTAGGTTCACTTAGAAGTAAATTAAGTGAAATGTTCGACATTGTCTTATTGGGCTAAAGAAAAATTGGATTTACAAGCATAAATTTTATCATTGACCTCTATAAACCTAATTTCATTAAGTCCATTTTTGCTAAAATTTGAAAATACCACAACTAACTATATACTGATATCATCATACCAGGTAAAATTTTCAAAAATTCATCACACAAGCTGACAGAAGCTTCAGTTTAACCACACGTTCTATCCCTGTTGTCCTTTGTCTGTACCAGGTGGGTGGGGTCACTCCACAGCAGATCTCTGTCTATGAAGAGTTCCACAGAAATATCCCAGGATTCCTGCCCAATGCACCAGAAACGGCACCACCAACTTCTGCTGCTGCCGCCGCTGCTGCTGCTGCAGGCGTGTACCCAGCCAAACCACCAGCCAGCTACGCCGCCACTGATGAAATCACCGCAATTTACGAGAAAATTGCCACAGAAATTGACAACCAACTTAAACAGATAATAGCGCCCCAGTCTACTGCCCACGTGGCAGCACTTCATGGCATCCTGGACGCAGTCGTGCTGGCCAGGAACTCCAGGGAAATCGTGACGGCGCTCTCTCTGCTGCAGAAGGTAAGATCTGGTTTCATTTTGCATCTTGTAATGGGTGAAAATGTTAACAGTGTCATAAATTAGTTGTACGTAAATCATTTTGTTGTCTTTCAGTCATGCTGTGGTTGTCCACATAATCTTTGTTTTGATACAAAAATTTTAATAACATTGTTTTAGTATTACAGTGATTTTGTGAAGAGTTGATAAGTTTCATGTAATTCTATAAGTCAGACATAGAGGTGGCTGCTGTCAATTGCCAACCAGTGATTTAAGACATGATGCCACATTATACATAATTTTGTTTTGTTTTGAATATTTACCATTGACAAGCAATAAAGAAAAATAATTTTAAGGATAATTTTAGAAAAAGAGTATCAGGTTACAAAAAAAAAAGGAATGTAAATGGAAAAATAAGACTGATTTTATGTGCTGGAAAGAAACATCTTTCAAGTAGTTGTAAAAACAGTCATGTGTTTACCACATTATCTCTTATAGACAGTGGAGGGATTACTGGAGGGCCTGAACCCATCTCTCACCGACACTGAGCTGCTAATCAGGTACCGCGACTGCCATCTCCTCGTCCTCCGCGGACTTCAGGATCCCAGGGCATACGGACCTCAGTGGACCAACAAGCAGGTGACCAGGTTAGTACCAGAATAATGGTAGAGTGCTCGCCTGCGGAGCAGTAGGTCCTGGGTTCAATCTTTGGCCAGGTCATACCAAAGACCACCTGTCTCCTTGCTTAGCACTCGGCAGATAAAGGTTGAAGTAGGGAACAGAGCCAGTGTTGCTGAATAACTGGTAACATTGGGCCAGAAGATAAGCTTATGCTTAACATGTTTACCTTCTTTAAATAAAGTTTTTAAAAAATTGATAATAACACTTACACTGGTTTCTGTCTTGTGTCAGATCAAATATGGCCACCCACTACAAAGCTTGCTGCCTAATTCAGCATTAGACACTGAATAGATTTCCTGCAGGGATTACGCATCAAGCATTCAAGTATTTGACATGCGGATCTGTTTGGTCTCTTTTCTGAATGAGGCCTGTGAGAGTGCAATGTTTTATACATTACAAAGTCTGTTTATCGGGAGTTTTGATGTTATAATGCTATGGTCCTGGCTTGTGTTACAGGTGTCTGGTGGAGTGTCGTGAGGACTACAGGTACAACCTGGACGCCGTGGATTGCCTGATCAAAAGTCACCTGGTCAACATGCAGCAGTATGACCTGCACCTGGCACAGGTGAGTAAGGAGCCTCTGATCTAACCTCCCTAAGATACTGAAGTTCATTCAACTTCAATTCAGGATGTGATTATAGTAAATCTACTAGAATTAAAGAACAATTCTTCTAACATATATTTTACATATCATGATGTGGTGTTCCTTCTTTCAGCAAATGGAGAATGGTCTGAACTACATGGCTGTGGCCTTTGCCATGCAACTAGTGCAGAGATATTGTGTAGAGGAGAAACAGACTGGCATGGCCACTAATACTGAGGTAAGGATATATACAAAGATATTGTGTAGAGGAGAAACAGACTGGCATGGCCACTAATACTGAGGTAAGGATATATACAAAGATATTGTGTGGAGGAGAAACAGACTGGCATGGCTACCAATACTGAGGTAAGGGTATACAGCAACTTGTGGGTTGTATTCAGTTTATTTGAATAAAAAAGAGCCTCCTTTTGTGAGGTAGAAAGTATAGTTCAGTCGATTTTTTGGTAACTAACTCTCAATAGTCAGCTTTAAAAAGATGCTTTTCTGCAGTGAGGTGAAAAGCTATATTGGCTTTTTTGGCAACTGCCTCGCTTTGACCCACCAAGAGAAGGTTTGCTTTTCAATAAATTTCTACTTCTCTCAAAGTATAAGAAAGAAAAAACAAGAAAAGGATAAGTCTTCATGTTTTTTATGACACAATCCTAAACACATAGACTGGAACAGACTGTTTTCACATTCCAGGCGGACTTCTACAACACCATTGAGACTCTAGGTCGCATTGCCATCCACTCCCGCCAGGCCCCAGACGGTCTCGCTGCTCTCATTGAGGCCATCCGTGCCCAGAACGACACCAGTATGATGGACAGGACACCAGGGGGCCCCACCAGCATGATGCAGTCTGGGATATCCCAGGCGCGGGAGTTTGACGACCCCCCAGGGCTGCACGAGAAGACGGAGTTCTTGTTGCGCGAGTGGGTCAACATGTATCACTCACCGGCCGCAGGCAGGGACAGCACCAAGGCATTCTCTGCCTTTGTACAGCAGGTACGGTTTCCTGGAGAGGATCATAGGTTTTTGATAATGGGTTTGAGATCCCTTTCAAAAGTTTTTTTTTTTTTTTTTGCCAAAAACTCAACTGAAACTGAATTTTATTTTTAGAAAATGGAAGAAACTTTTGAGTGTTTTTGTAAATTATTTATTAACTTTGTTTTGAAATCAGAACTTTTTCTTAACAAAACATCAACTAAGGTAACTATAGCACCACTGGTTAATGACAGGGAGATACTAGCTGATACTATAATAGCTGTGAGTAGTTTCTAAAAGAGACAGTGTGCTAAATGATGTGATCACATTAAGATTCTATGTAAAGAAAGTGAACAGTTTCCTGTCTGCCTCTTTTCAGATGCACCAGCAGGGTATCCTGAAGACGGACGACCTGATCACCCGGTTCTTCCGCCTCTGTACTGAGATGTGCGTAGATCTGTGCTACAGAGCGCTGTCTGAACAGAGCAGCCCCACCCTGATACGAGCCAAGTGTTTTCACACCCTAGACGCCTTTGTGAGGCTGATTGCTCTCCTGGTGAAACACTCAGGGGACTCGGCCAACACAGTGACCAAGATTAACCTGCTCAATAAGGTGAGACAGTTTATGAGGCTGTGATTTAGATAAAGATGGTAATCTCAGTGTTTTCATATGCTGAAAAATTTGGAACTTTAAAAATATCTGTTTGTTGAACCTTCAAGACCCAAAAGTTTATCCATATTAATATATCTTATCACCAAGATGAATGTGTAATTATATGTGATTGAAGATGATGGACTTTTTATATCAATCCTAGGTTTATTAGTATACCAGAATTATTTAGTCAAAAAATTAAGATCAACCTTCAACTAAATTACTTTTTTGTGTTCTGAAACTTTACTCTGAAAAAAATGTATCCTCCTAATTTAAGCTTGTCTCTCATGCATTCTCCTATCATGTGTCAGGTTCTGGGGATAGTGGCTGGCGTGTTGCTGCAAGATCACGAGGTGAGAGGGACGGATTTCCAGCAGCTTCCCTACCACAGGATCTTCATCATGTTGTTCATTGAGCTAAACGCCCCTGAACACGTCCTGGAGAGCATCAACTTCCAGGTGCTGACAGCTTTCTGGTGAGTTTTTTTTATTGTTTGTGACCAGGCTGTTTTGTAACTGTTGGTTTGGGGTGTTTTCTATGCACCATAAATTGTTGTCTTGTTAGCAATACTCGTTAACTTAGGACCCAAGGGATCAATGTTGGCCTTTGATGTAAGTTTCACAATGATGTGTTGAATACTATTATAATATTAAATCGATGTTATTGTTTCCAGCAATACTTTCCACATCTTGCGTCCAGCCAAAGCGCCAGGGTTTGCCTTTGCTTGGTTGGAGTTGATATCTCACCGCGTGTTCATTGGGAGGATGCTGGCCATTACACCGCAGCAGAGGGTGAGTACACCGCGTGTTCTTGTCACTGGTAGGCACGTGTTTGTGCTTTTAATTCCTGGCTTGTCACAGTTGTGTAAACACTGACAATAGGAGAAAGAAAGTTGAAAATGGGATATGTGACATATAAATACACTGATGCCAGCAAGGAAAGAATAAATTGTTAAAATTCCAGTCATGCATTTGGTTATCAATCTTGTAAAATATAAATCATTTTCACCGTTCTTTAAAAACAACTTTACACCTCTTTTTGATGGTGATGTGAATATATAACACCTGTGTGATGCACCAGTTTTGTGTCGCCTGAATTCTTACAACCATCTTATCCACTTACGATAGCACAGAAATCGTCACAGCTTTATGACCAATGATGTTTTTCCTGTTACAGGGATGGAGCATGTACGCACAACTCCTGAGTGATCTGTTTAAGTTCCTGGCGCCTTTCTTACGTAATGCCAATCTGGACAAGCCAACCCAGCTGTTGTACAAGGTGAGACGGGCATGGAGATTAGATGACAGTGATATTTGTAAATTAAAGTTACTTGACTGTTTCTACTCTTTTGAAATATGTTTTTATGTGTTCTCATTGGACTTCGTGATAAGTAATCATTTTCATTTTCAAGTATATGTTAGCTAAAGATCTAATGGTTATAAATTTGTCTCCAGGGAACATTACGGGTGCTGCTGGTTCTGTTGCACGATTTCCCAGAATTCCTGTGTGACTTCCACTACGCCTTCTGTGATGTCATCCCACCTAACTGTATCCAGATGCGCAACCTCATCCTGAGCGCATTCCCACGCAACATGCGTCTGCCGGATCCGTTCACGCCTAACTTGAAGGTGGACATGTTGCCTGAGATTGCGATGCCCCCTAGGATTATGACAAACTTTGCCAAGATGATCCAGCCCAAGGGATTTAAAAATGTAAGTGCTCATACCATTTATTCTTCCAGAAAATGTATGAAAAGAAAAAGAATTGAAATTGAGTTTATAATTATTTTTATGGTTGGAGGATGTACATCATTTACTATGTTTGAAATGTTTGAAAGATAATATCTGAATCTGTATATTATAGTTTTCACAATTGTAAAGTAATATTTTCGTAACTGGATGTGTAATATGTGCAAAAGGACAAAAATGTAAATTTCAGTAATAAGAACCTTTTTATGAACAGATGTTGGGTCAAATTTAAGTAAGGTACTTGGATTCTTAAACCTAATGAACTCAACACCTTCAGTACTAAAAAGTTCAAAGCCAAATTTTGTCAAATGCAGTTTTTAGAATGCTAGTTATATATTCCACTGTTTCCTGTCGCAGGACATGGACTCCTACTTGACCTCTAGGTCACCCGTGACCTTCCTGTCAGAGCTCCGCAGCAGTCTCCAGATCTCCAGCGAGCCCGGGAACCGTTACAACATCCCGCTGATCAACGCCCTGGTTCTGTATGTGGGAACCCAGGCCATCACATTTATCCACAGCAAGGGCCTGCAGCCCAGCATGAGCACCATTGCCCACTCCTCTCATATGGATATCTTCCAGAATTTGGCTGTGGATTTGGACACAGAAGGTGGGTTTTCAGCTGGCTTCACAAGAGAAGTTTTGTTTTGAAATTTTGTCTTAATTTTGGGACTGAAATTTTTGTCTGTATTTACTGCAAATGGATTATTTGTCATATTCCATTGAAATAGACTAATGTTCCTGTTTTATAATAAAAAAAAGGAGTTCCTACTTTTTCCTCAGTTGTATTAAAAGATCTGTTTTGCGCTGTAGGTATTTTATATAGTTTGTTTTGGCTGTAATTTCAGGTCGGTACCTGTTCCTGAATGCCATAGCCAACCAGCTGCGTTATCCCAACAGTCATACTCACTACTTCAGCTGTACTCTGCTCTATCTCTTTGCTGAGGCCAACAGCGAGGCCATACAGGAGCAGATTACCAGGTACAAAACTCGTCTCAAAATAACATTAGAAGTTTGGTCTCTGCTAAATTTCTGAGTTAATATATGTACCTATTTGTGTTCTTCTTTTCTGCCTCCTTCCCAGTTAATTAAGCCAGCTAGACGAGACTTCTAGTGTCTGTTTAGTGGTAAATGCTGGGTAAAGTAAAGTCAGTTTTTACATTGGTGTTTTCTGCTGTCCAGTTGCAGGAACATTTGTTGAAGTTGAAACAAATGCATCGCCCCATTTTCTGGTGCTTTGAAGATTCATATCAAATCACCATATAGATCTTTAAGAAATAAAGAAGTTCTTAAAAAGATGCATCTAATCCAAGAATGTGGCACCCAGGTCTTCTTCAGGGATTTGAAAAAAATTTTTTTTTTTTTCAAATCACCTTTATTGAGCTGGTAAAGAACCCAAGCTTTAAGAAAAGTATTTTTTTCAAATTCCTAAAGAAGGCCTAGAGGCTGAAAGCTTGGACTACATATTACATCTTTAATGTAGATCTTCATAGATGCATCTTTCTGAAGCTGTAATGTTTACAACGATTGTTTGATAAATATTATCCTTCTATTTCCATCCCCAGGGTTCTCCTGGAGAGACTGATAGTGAACCGCCCCCACCCATGGGGCCTGCTCATCACCTTCATTGAGCTGATCAAGAACCCAAGCTTCAAGTTCTGGAATCATGACTTTGTCCACTGTGCACCGGAGATAGAGAAGTAAGAACTTTTTATTTTTCTTCTTCTTATATGCATGGATGAGATTTTGTGAACTATCTGTGGTTTTCAGACTTTATAGGTCTAGACCCCATACCATATTTTTGATGGTTTCACCAAGTGGTAAACTCATCCCTGTATATGTATGTTGGGTGATTTTAGGTTATGTCAGTGAGGGCACTTAGAACAAGCTGAGCTGAAGACTACATATAGCCAATCCAACATTAAAGCAGAGCTTACTTATCCCTTGATGGTCTCCCTGCCTCCACACGCACCGTCCCTGCAGGGGTCTAGCAATTAAACCTCAGAGCTGTGATTTAATCTGTTTAATGGCGCATGTGCGTCCTTGTATGTCAGGTTGGCATTATTTAGTCCGCAGATCATCTGTTCCGAATGCGCTCAAATGGATTGAAAAGATTTGAGAACTATTTAGCACTCTGATACTATTGAGGCAGTTGCCAATTTGTAAGTTCCAGTATTATTATAACAATTGTTCACTATTTCAGGCTGTTTGAGTCTGTGGCCCGCTCCTGTATGCAACCCAAGCAACAAGGTCAAGCTATCAGGGAACAGGACGGCCCCCAGGAAGTGCACTAACTTGACTTCTAGGTCAAAGCTCAAAGGTCAACCACAGCTGACCTCTGATGCAAGCAGAACTGGCTCACCTTGGACAGGACTTTTGTAGATGGCAGCACTAGTCTCATGGCAAGATGTCAGAAGTTTGGATTCAAACCGATTTCTTTTTGCTGCCACATTGAAATGCAACTTCGTAAACATTGATACTGATAAGTCATAAAGAAAAAAATTATAAAAATAGAAAAATTTAGAAAAGGATCGTTGTTTTATGAGGTGTGATTTTCACTGGTGGATCCTAAATATAGGATATAGGTTTTGTCAGATATAGAATGCAAAAAGGTGTGACATAAAAATAGCAAAATGATACAAAAAATGAAAATGAAATATTAAAAAAATAGAAAAAATTGATGGTCAAGAAGAGAGCAATACAGAGTGCTATAATTGGGCTTTTGCGGGTATTTTGTCAGCTAAGAAACTATTTGCTGCTTTGTGTACAAGTGAGGTTAAAGTGCTTTATTGTTCTATAAAACTTTAAAAAGATCTAATTAAGTTAGATGAAGACTTCAAATATGTGATAATAACTTACTCAAGAGTTCTTAAGGAGTCACGGATAGTGCATTCTGATATTCAGAAGCCCTTCTATTGTAACATGGATGGGGAGTCCATGACCTTGACCCAAATAGAGGTCACTGTCCCATTATTTTAAGAAAAGTACTGTCTTGTGCTTATTTCCTGAAGTATCTTCATAACCAAGCCACAGTATTAGTTAAGTTTCTGTCCAGGGTTGAAGAACTAAATCTTTGTTATTAAGGCCTCTCTCATGAGCCATTATGTGTTAAGAGGAGAAGACTGCCTTGTCTGTTTGTTATCAGAGGTTGAAGGCTGGGGCTGTGTGTATATAGTTATGAAACAGAATTATTTAAAGGTTTTCAAAACCAAGATTAGAGAATAAATTTGACTAGAACCAGAGTGATGATTAATAAATGTAGTTGGATATTAAGTTAGCACTATTTGTTATAACGTAGGCACTGAATGAAGGTTGTTTTCAGACTGGAATAGGGTAAGAAATTGTCCATGGATGGAAAAATCAAAACCTTGTAAAGATGGGATCATCTGTTGATGTGTAGTCACACACCCTGTACCTAGCAGGTTGAAGTTGTGAGTAGCTGGATACTCATGATTTTAGAGAAAATTGGACCACACTCGGAGATTATGTAAAACAAAGTTGTGTTGAAGTTTCCGTGTAGTTTCTCGTTTCAGTTACCGATTTCAGTGATTTATTGTGTACATGTTACGAATCAAGGAAAGTCACTGGTGGTGCTACAAGTGCTTCATGAAGATATAGTCTGAACTGGATTGGAAGCCATTTTGTTGGCTTAAGAGACCTGGGGATATCTTTTGGTGGTACCTATGAAATTAAGTGTAGCAGGACAAACTGTGCAAAATATTTCACAAACTGTTGAAAAGTATAAAGGTTACATTCTTTTAGTGTTAAGAAATATCAAGTTTATGGTCTCATGACGAAACACTGGTCCATTTTCATGACCTTGACCCAGATAAAGGCCCATGACCTTGTTAGAGGTCATTGGCCCATTTTCAGGTCGTAACAGTGAGATGCCCGTTATGTTGTTATGAAGGTTACATTACTGTATGCTGCTGGTCAACACCGAGTTGTCACTCTGAAGAGGATGCTAAATATTTTGTGTATTATGAACTTGCTCATCTCAAAGATACAAAATTGCCAAGTATTGTTTGGATTGTAATTTAATTTTTTTTTTAGGCCAGACTGAGATGTTAATTGAGATAATAATTATCTCGATACCTGCTGTGGCTCTGCCGCATACACTAATGAGATCTTCTGAGTATTTGTTGCTATGGTTACAATGTAAGATGATATATTGTAGAGAATAAATTGCTTTGCTTTGATATTGCAAAACCAGTTGTCACTTTTTGACTTCTGAGAAATCTCCATTTCAAAGTTCCAGTAATATTCAACATTTTTCCTAAGCAATATCTATACTGGTAACCCTTTGAGGCATTCTAGGAAGTTAAATTAAATAACATGAATAGATACAATTATTATAAAATAGTGACTCTTTCCTGGGCATTTTACTGCTTTAAGAAAAAATATTCAAAGAATAACTAAAGAAGAGCTTAATCATTTCACATAAACAATATTTATTACACATGATATTCATTCAACTTATAATAATTTAACACCTTCACATTGTGACAATTATCTTTGCTATCAATGATGAGAAAGCTATATCTTTATCTTTGGAATGGTTTGGTCAAAATCGAGGTGCAAATGGGAATTATCTGAGATAGTGTTGTGACTTAGCCTGAAATCAAGCGAGATTTGGCATGATTTGAAGGAGAGGGGTCAGAGATAATGACCGGAATAGCAAGCAACATGGCAAGGAATGAAAGCTGACAGAATTTACATTATGCATTCATACACAGATATTTCTCTGGTTGTTTTCTCTCGAACTCTGTTGAAATAGTCTACTGCACGACACTATGGTCACCTTCAGAACAGCAGACGCGGATCAAATATGGCAACCTGCTAAAAAGCTTGCTGCTTAATTCTCAATTAGACACAGATTCCCCCCCCCCCTCCCGTGGGGATTACGCAACAACCATTCAAGCGGGTTGGTCATATTTGATCCATGGATCTGTTAAATAGTCCGCTATTCTAAATGCACTCTTTAACTTCGACACGTTTGGGTATCACTTAGTACTGCTATCTTATAAAGGTGATAATGCCAGGGGAGCAAGGTTTACTCCTATCACTAAAAAGTTGACCCAACCTTACAAGATCTTTTTCGTCTTATATGATATCACAAAGCGCAGATGGTCTTGTTTAGGAGTATCTTTGATGATAATCTTTGTGCATTGCACTATATAATTACAAGCTGCCATTATTTTTAAAATAACTATCTGACCATCTAAAACAAATAGGTGCACAAACTGACAATAAAATAAAACTGCAACAAGATGAAATTCATCGTGAACAAAATAAATAAGCCACAAACAAAATACTGCCACACAGAGAAAAATTGACAAAAGATGTGTGTTATGTAAAGATATCTAGAAAGGCAATTGGCCACTCTGTGTAACTAAAATAGATCTAAAAACTCCAATTAAATTAACTCCAGCTGCCTAACTAAACAACACACTCTGATGAAATATTCCAACAATAAAATTCCACGTAATGTTGGTTTTTCTTTTTTTTTGCAAAATCAGTTTTAAAATGTGCAAACATAAAATGATTAAAATAAAATTCCAAAATATAGCCAGTTAAATTCATACCATATAAACAAGAAAATATGACTGGTTAAATAAATATCATAAAGCTCAAGGTGCTCCAATCTAACAACAAGTTGATGCAAACTGCCATCAACTCTTCTTCAAAGCTACAATAACTAAGTCTAGATTGCTTTTCATAGCTTCAGGCTTCACTTAAGCTTCATATTAAATGCTCATCTTTTAATCTTCAATATCTTTAACCTAATGTGATGAAAAATTGATGATCTGACAAAAACAAAAACTTAAAGACAAACATCCCCAGCAGCATATCTAAAATAAAGATCAGCAAGTGGAATGTGGAATCCAATCCCAGATCCTTTCCTTTATCCACAAGAGGGGTTTTAAAATTCTAGTCCCAAGTAAAACTAATCAAAAAGCAATTACATCCTGTGGATTTCAAAGCAAAGTTGAAACAAATGGGAAAGTCCTTGGCATGTGGTGGTTAACCAAAACAAAGAAAGAACACACAAGGAAAAGTACAGTTCTGAGCTAATGCCTCACTTGGGGAACAGCCAAGAATCTTCAATCCCCAAGAAAAACAGCATGCAAATGAAATGTAAAATATCGCAGATTAAAACGCCTTCAAAAACACATCAACCATAGCAAATGACTAGTCTAGCCTGAGTGGGTCACAAATAATTAAAATAAATAAAAGACTGTGTAGAATTATATTCTGGACAACAACACACTGGAATTGCTGCACCCGTTCATTTACATTTAAGAATAGCTGGACTTTTAGTGCGACGTGTGCCAGCTTCATTTTGAAACCTCCATACTTTAAAAGTTTTTTTTTTTTTTTTATATTTAATCAAAGCTTATCCTGACAATCAAAAGATAAAAAATGTCCATTTAGAATGCTAACCTACTTAAGTGGTTCCATACAATGGATATTACCTATTTAATATACCTGTCAATCAAATACCACTGGAATTCACATGTGAAAAAATTGAAATATGGACATTTAAACTGAATTATTGATAGCAAAGTACAATGTTATATTTTCAATGAGGTAAACAGAAACTTGATACTGACACCACTGAGCTAGATGCATTTTTTTTTAATCTTTAGTTTGTAACAGTTCATCATACCTGAAACTAGTATTAAATACTTCACCAATAGATTAAGTGCACCTGAAACTTTAATTGGTAAGAAGCAATTTAGAGTTCACAATTTCTGGAACTTTTCAAGGAATTCCTACGGTACCATGGGTTGCCATCTTTACAGTGAACATTGTAGAGGTGATCATGACTTGTGAACATACTGTTATCAAATACATTCTATAGCAAACAAGGAAAGCCCAATGTGACCCCCCCTTTCCCCCCCCAAAAAAATAAAAAATAAAATAAAAAATAAAAAATAAAAAAAAAATAGACCCTTAAAATCCAGTATTGACATTTTTAAGATTTAAAATCATTATCAGGGATACAAATAACACACAGATAAATTATTATAATATAATCTATTTTAACTTTGGTCAGCTTATTTTACTGTCACCTTCTGTCTCTAACAGCATCTGTATATAACAACAAAAACACCTGATAATTCAACAATATTTGATCATTGATCGTTGTTCTTTTCTTTGAAATAGATCAAAACACTTAGTGACACAGATTGGGTTAGCTGAATTTGCCGCCCCTTGCCTAATTGGTCTGTCTGTAAAGATGAACACTGTGCCACAGTTTTCACTCCTCCCAGTGTCTTCAGGGGTTCTTTTCATATTAATATTTCAGCCAAGCTCGATATTTTCGCCTTTTTTTTTTCCACTCCTATTATCCAATCAGATCATTGTATTTTGGGACACTGCGGAGCATCTTTGAACAGTTTGGCCACATTGACTAATAGGAAAGTCACGACAGCACCGATGAATGACCCTCCTTGGGTCACAGCTCCGCACCACAGCAATGCCTTACGACCCTCGTCCCGTAGCAACACCGCGATCATGACCTTACTGTAGGAGAAGAAGGCCGTCATAAGAACCCATGCTAAAACCTGAAATAATTACAAAATGGAAACTTACATAAATAATGGTATAAAGAGCCACAATTAAGATTAGGCGAATTGGAAAAGATGAAATATTTATAACACATACTGTCACCTGATCAAGTCATCTTTAAATGATGATAAAAGTGCTCTAAAACTTAATCATTTCTTCAGTTCATTCAGACTATTTATCTACATGGATAGATCTCAGTTAAAGTTATAATAATAAAAAAAACTCACAATTAAAATCTTTCCAAATACACTACTGTGCATCACAGGGTGCGGGCTCATCACAGCCGTTACCATGATGAAAACACCAATGGCTGTTGCCAATCCAACCAATGAGGAGATGACTTTCTTGTTTGTGCTGGGCAGGAAAAATGCTATGAGACAAGCAAGTGGATTGGCTAATGCTGACAACTTGACAGCGAGGTTGTAAGCTAGCTGCCCATAGGGCAAACAAGAATAAGTTTGTATACTTGGAAATACGCCATTGCTCAAAGCGTTCAACCAACCAGTTAGTATGAGAACAAGTATAAAGGTATTCTGCGGCAAATGGTAAGATATCGACCTCTTCAACCGCGTCCTCTCAACAATGTTACTATCTAATAATTTAGCCTCAGAGTGAATGTGCGGCATGTTTTTGTCCTTGGGCGAGGCATCATTCGTTGGTTCTGCGGCGTCCAACTCGAGACTGTTATCACTGCTACTGCCAGCCTCTGAATCTTGGTCGCCAGCGTCACACTCCTCTTTGTAACAAGGAGAGTGCTCTCTAGTACAGAGAGGTAGGTAATTCAATGCTGTGAAGGATATCCCACAAGTCAGCATCATGGCGAACAGAAAAAAGAAGAAGTCTTTTATTGGGAAATTTGGAGGATCCAACACGGCATGTAACTGCCATGAAGTTTCATTGGTCGTTGAATTGGTAATTGTTTGGTTCACACACTGATACTCGCCAGCGCCTTGAGCTAGCGCCACAAGACTTGGCAGTAAGCCGCTGAACCCCTCGCCTATGTAATACGCTGTCATGTACTGTTCTTTAAACACTGCCATATATGGTAAAAACAGCACGGAGGAAGTGCAGTCGACAAATGCCAGACAAAACGCAAGAGCCAGCAATGCCGTACTGTGCTTTACTCCTGCTATGTAAGTTTGATGCTCCCAAAATAACCCAAGCAAAAATGTCGATACAATTCCCATTGTAATTACAACATACGCCACAGGAACCTCTTTGATCCGTTTGGGCACCAAACAGTTTGATACAGTGTATATGATTGGTCCTAGGTTGGCAATTTGGATGATGACCGCCAGGTACGATGGGAGATCCCAGCTTTCTGGCAGTCGTTGGACCAAAAGTGGCAATTCTACCCATAATCCATTGATGGCAATCCAGGAGCCGATCCCAAACAGCGCCACGATCACAGCCACGGGAATGGATACTGGGCGCGACTTCGATGCATAACACATCAGCGCCATAGTGGATACGGTGCTAGATTGTCTGCGCACTGATGGATTTCTTCGGGAATGGTTGGAATGTTGATCAGTGTGATGGACTGTTGTCTCTTCCTCAAACTGCACCATTCAGTTCGTTTTCATGTCTTTCATGTTCATCATTGTCTCATTTCTGGAATTTAGAGAACAGTGTTTAATGATAAATCAATAAGTATCAAAATGAGTGAATGTTTGTTAAAATATCAGCAAGTTTACCTTTAAGATATAGCACAAAGAATTTTGAAAAAATATTAACAAAGTTTTTATGTGAAATGAAATACTGAGAGGTTTATTTGATGTAAAGTTTCATAGTTTCCTTTTTTTCCAGTATGTACATGTAATAAAAGCATAACACAATATTCATTTCAAAGTAACAAGGTCAAAACACTAATTATTTCTAAAATATAAACAAATATATGGACATGGAGTGATCAATAAATTTATCAGTTACCATCCTTAATGTGTGTGTGTGTGTGTGGAGAGAGAGAGAGAGAGAGAGAGAGAGCGAGCATGAATTAAAGAAGTGAAAACATAAGTTCAACATATATTTTGCCTCGTTTGAAGAATATCACATATTTCTTTAATATTCAGTATGAATTATAAAAATATGAATTAAACAAGAAAGTGTTGGCCACCTTCACCCTTCAAGAACACCTGTCAGCCACTATAGACGTGTGAAAGACAATTACCAGTCAGCCTTCTCTCCTATCCACCTCATATCTATATAATACATGCTATTGTAAATTATGATGAATAAAATTTCAATGGAAGATTATAAATAGGCAGGTGGCCAAGTCAAGGTGACTTTGACTTAATATCAACTATTAACACGCCAGTCCCCACTTAACTGAAAATTATTTCTTGACGTAAAGAGATAGTCCTAAGATCAACAGGCCTGTAGCCAGCAATTTCAAAATGGGGGGGGGGGGGGTCTTTAAAAAATAGATCTGTTTACTGGGAAACCTAGCTGTTGGCATAAAATATGTTTTTACATGAAATTTGGATTAAGGGTTAAATTATTACTAGGCAAAAAGGCAGTTTGTTTGAAACCCCCCCCCCTCCCCCCAAAAAACACACACACACACACACACACACACCAGTATCTGTCTATTACCCTGGTGAATAAATTCTACTTACTGTGATATTTCTTTCTCACCTAATGGTTAGCAGAAAGATCGAGCAGGAAGATTTATTTGGTAATTGATCCCATAAAAACACAAAAATGGGAGGTACAGGGCATACATATATCATGAACGCTATACCAGTTAGTACAGTACTGTATGTTTGACAATCTGACTACAAAATACCACTGAACTATTACTTCAAAAAGTCACATACTAGCTAATGATGCCCCTACCACCCTTAATTATTATATCAGATAGTCATCATCTATCCTCTTTGTGTCGATATGGCACATAAGGCATCCACCAGAGCTTGCCAGTGTTCGTTGTCTGTTTACTGCATAACCCTCAAGCTGTTCCCACATCCACTGATGTGGTTTCATTTCCTTCTCAACAAATCATAACAGATCACATACTAGAAAATGGACCCAAACCCCAGCCCCCTATAACATCAAAAAGTCGCATACCAGGACTAGTAAATGCCTCCC